GTGAACTCATAATTGTTATTCATTGGATCATAATATTTTACTCACTTATGTTGATGCTCAGATAATAACAAATTCAACAGTGTTCTTTTGTACTTAATAAACAAAATACTAATTAATAGTTGTAATTTTGCTAGTTTTTAAAATTCCCTTATAGAAATCAACTATAAAAAGACAGACAGACATGTATCTCCTAATACCAAATGTTGAAAACCATGAACTCTGTGGCATGCCTTGTAGATACTCCACTGCATCACCTTAATCTAATCATGAAGAACACGGCAAACTCAAATTAAGGGGGGCCGGCGCTGTGGTGTAGCGGATAAAGCCGCCTGCAGTGCCGGCATCCCAGATGGGTGCCGATTCAAGTCCTGGCTGCCCCACTTCTGATCCAGCTCCCTGCTATGGTCTGGGAAAGCAGTCGAAGATGGCCCAAAGCCTTGGGCCCCTGCACACACATGGGAGATCCAGAAGAAGCTCCTGGCTCCAGATGGGCGTAGCTCTGGCTGTTGCAGTCATTTGGGGAGTGAACCAACGGATGAAAGACCTCTCTCTCTGCCTCTCCTCTCTGTGTAACTCTGACTTTCAAATAAGTAAACAAATCTTTAAAATAAAAAAAAAACTCAAATTAAGGAACACTCCATTTTTCGGGGGGTGGGGAGCACGAACGCAGTCTCCTACTATCACAAATTATGTAGTCGCGTTTCCTACATGTGGGGAAATGGAACATTCTATTTTTAAGAATGGCCTATCAGTATTGCGGCACAGTGAGTTAAAGCCCCAGCCTGCAGTTCCCAGATCCCATATGGGTGCCGGTTTGAGAACTGGCTGCTTCTCTTGCAATCCAGCTCTCTGCTAAGGCCTGGGAAAGCAGCAGAAGATGGCCCAAGTCCTCGGCCGCTGCACCCACGTGGGAGACCCGGAGGAAGCTCCTGGCTCCTGGCTTCAGATCAACTCAGCTCTGGCCTCGTGGTCATTTGGGGAGTGAACCAGCGGATAGAAGACCTCTCTCTCTCTCTCTCTCTCTCTCTCTCTCTCTCTCTCTCTCTCTCTCTCTCCAGCTCTACATCTCTCTGTAACTGCCTTTCAAATAAATAAAAATAAATCTTTAAAAAAAAAAAGCCTATGTTCAACAATGCCAATGTCATAAAAACCTAGGATAGAGGAAAAATGTTCTAGATTAGAAAAGACTAAAAGGCCATGATAGCTAAATGCAATAAGGATCTTTTGTTATAAAGGCACAACACTGAGAAATCTAAATAAACCTAGCCTAAGGGATTCGAGTAATTCTCTTGCAACTCTGGTAATGCTGAAATTAGGTCAAAATGAAAAGGAGCAAAGGGCAGGAGAGAGGAGGAGAGGGGAGGAGAAGGAGGAAGAATAAAAAGAAAAAAAGAATTGATGTAGGTAGGGCAGTGAGATCCTGCTGCTAGAACAAGTCAGGGGAGACAGAACCCTTCCCAATCATCCACACATTCACTCACTCTTGTTCTTAAGACTTATTCTATTTACTTGAAAGGCAGAATTGCAGGGATCTTCCACCTGCTGGTTCACACTCCAAATGGCCACAACAGCTGGGGCCAGGGCGAAGCCAGGAGGCAGGAGCCTCTTCAGGATCTCCCACGCAAGTGCAAGGGTCCAAGGACTTGGGCCAACTTCTACTGTTTTCTCAAGTGCATTAGCAGGAGCTGGATCAGAAGTGGAGCAGCCGGGACTAGAACCACTGCCCATATGAGATTATGGCACTGCCAAGTCGCAGCTCGACCTGTGGGCTCTCTTTTCCTTTCTGATTTCTGCAAGTGTGTTGTGAGGATAGCTGGTTTGGTATAAGCTCCAGAGCTCAAGAGAAGCACAAGAGAGGAGCGTGATGAGAAGTTTCTATGGGACAAAAGGTACCACAGGGTGGGATGTCCCAGATGAATACACAGAACCGAACAAAGACACAGAAAGAACGATTCTCAGAGAGAACACTAATTATTTCTATTTAAGCTGGAGAATATATCTTTAATACATTTTAGAGTTTTGTCTATTATGGGTATATATGTACATATATTTGAGAAAATAAAAAGTGATTTGGGACTGATGTAAGGATAAATAGATCAATGAATAAAAATAGAGACTACAAAATTAATTGAAATGTAGTTAAAACTGGGTATACCATAAACTAGAGGGAAAAAAGTTATCACAATAGTGTTCAGATAATTTATATGCTGTTGAAGAAATCAAGACAATCCCTACCTTACTCTTGGGACTAAAACAAATTTCAGAATGATTAAACACTTTTTAGAAGAAAAAATAATAGGGGCCAGCATTGTGGTGCAGTACGTTAATCCTTCACATAAGGCACTGGCATCCCATATGGGCGCTGGTTCTAGTCCCGGCTCCTCCTCTTCCAATCCAGCTCTTTGCTATGGCCTGGGAAAGCAGCAGAAGATGGTCCAAGTACTTAGGCCCCTGTACCTGCGTGGCAGACCCCCAACAAGGCTCATGGCTCCTGGCTTTGGATCAGCACAGCTCCAGCCATTGTGGCCATTTGGGGAGTGAACCAGCGGATGGAAGACCTTTCTATCTGTCTCTCCCTATCTCTGTATGTAGCTCTACCTCTCAAATAAATACATAAAATCTTAAAAAAGAAAAAATAATAAATGTACCAGGAAAAGAAATGGAAAGAAATAAATTGTAGCTTTTTCTTTCGGGTCCTCAGTTCCAAGATGACACAGAAAAAGAAGGATCAACAGCTATGCTAAAAAGGGCCGCAGCCACGTGCGGCCTTCTCACTGCACTAACTGCATTCACCGTGTGCCCAAGGACAAGGCCATTAAGAAGTCTGTCATTCTCAACACAGTGGAGGCTGCAGCCATCAGGGACATCTCCGAAGCCAGTGTTTTTGATGCGTGCGTGCTTCCCAGCTATATGTAAAGCTACATTATTGTGTCAGTTGTGCCATTCACAGCAAGCCGGTCAGAAATGGATCTCATGAAGCCCACAAGGACTGGACACCACCACCCCAATTTAGAGCTGCCACTGCTGCCCCACAGCCTCCACCAAAGCCCAGGTGAAGAGTGTAATCTTCAAGGGCTGAAGAAAAATTATTCTCTGGAAAAATAAAGTGGAAATTTAAGCTTTAAAAAAAGAAACTGTAATAATTATATAATAATTTGTCTAAGATAAACAGAAATCTCAGTAGCATAAAGACAAAGACTGCTGAAATAAAATTTCTACAATACATCAAATATATTCAAAGTAAATAATAATTGCACTAAAATCTCTAGAAAAGGAATAGGAATATGTACACACATAAATACTTTCAGCGGCACAGAGTCTGAAACAAGACAAAAAAAACCGGTAACAGTGGAAGAGGTTTACTGTATAAAGTATACCATTTCAGATTGTGTTTCCATGACTATTTCACTGAAAAAATTAGTTAAAAATCTTAAAAGATTATGGCAGCAAAACAGAGTTAAATCAAAAATTCCATTAATTCTGACTGGTAGTAATGCCTATATCAAACCACATAGCGGAAGACTATTAGGAGTCAATTTTTTCCTTAAAAAATAAAAAAAAATCCCTCTGTGTCTCTCCCCCTTTTTTTCTTTTAAGATTTATTTATTTATTTAAAAGGTAGAGTTACAGAGAGGCAGAGAGAGAGAGAGAGACAGAGAGACAGAGAGAGACAGAGAGGTGACAGAGAGGTCTTCCATCTACTGGTTCACTCCCCAAATGACCACAACGGCCAGAGCCAAGCTGATCTGAAGCCAGGAGCCAGGAGCTTCTTCCGGGTCTCCGGGGCGGGTACAGGGGCCCAAGCACTTGGTCCATATTCCATTGTTTTTCTAGGCCACATAGCTGAGAGTTGGATCAGAAGTGGAGCAATCAGGGGCCGCGCCGCAGCTCACTTGGCTAATCCTCCGCCTGTGGCGCCGGCACCCGGGGTTCTAGTCCTGGTTGGGGCGCCGGATTCTGTCCTGGTTGCACCTCTTCCAGGCCAGCTCTCTGCTGTGGCCCGGGAAGTACAGTGGAGGATGACCCAAGTGCTTGGGCCCTGCACCTGCATGGGAGACCAGGAGGAAGGACCTGGCTCCTGGCTTCGGATCGGCGCAGCACACCGGCCGTAGCAGCCATTTGGGTGGTGAACCAACAGAAGGAAGACCTTTCTCTATGTCTCTCTCCCTCTCACTGTCCACTCTGCCTGTCCAAAAAAAAAAAAGTGGAGCAATCAGGACACAAACCAGAGCCCATGTTGGGATGTTGGCACTGCAGACAATGGCTTTACCTGCTACACCACAGTGCCGGCCCCTCTCCCTCTCTAATACTGCCTTTCAAATAAATAAAATAAATTAGGCCGGTGCAACAGCTAATCCTCCACCTGCGGCGCCAGCACACCGGGTTCTAGTCCCGGTTAGGGCACCAGATTCTGTCCCGGTTGCTCCTCTTCCAGTCCAGCTCTCTGCTGTGGCCCGGGAAGGCAGTGGAGGATGGCCCAAGTGCTTGGGCCCTGCACCCGCATGGGAGACCAGGAGAAGCACCTGGCTCCTGGCTTTGGATCGGCACAGTGCACCGATTTATCAAAAATCAAGCAACAGAGATAGATAATATGAAATGGAAATAGGAACAAAGGTAAAACTTGTTCAAAACCCTTTGGAAATGTTTTATGAATTACAAGTACATATATCTGTAAAACCCTAAATACCCCCCATTTTCTTTACAGGGTGGGGGGTGGGGGAGTCCCTTTGTAGTTCCCTCCTGAGAAGGATGACTGATGCACACGTTTCCTGAGTTATAGAAACCTTCAGGAAGCCATTTTAGGGAGCCACACTGACAGCAACAGCAGCCACTGAATTCATTTGTCATTCTCAATTTTTGGAAAGACATAACTGATTACCTCTTAAGCATCTGATTACACCTATTCCTTAACTATATCCACAGAAATAATGTGTGATGTACTTTGGGCCACCAAGCTGAAAATTGCTTTCTCATACTAGAAAAGGCAGATTACAACTTACCAAATCAGTTTCTTTTTTCCTTCTTTTCTTCCTTTCTGTTTTTGGTACCTGGCAGAGTATAGAGAGTAACACAAAAATTGTGATAACAAAGACTAACACACTTGCTGAATTATCTGCTCAACAGGTAACCGGGCAGCTCTTTATTCTTTAACAGGAAATGTACAGTGAGAACAAGCAAATATGAGAAAAAATTTGGTAAAATACATGCTAATAAAATCAACAGACTAGAAGGATGGATACTTTAGAGATTATTTTTTAAACAGCCCTGACCAAAACTAATTAAAATGACTTTTATTTTAAGCATTAACTAAATGATGATTCATTTTAAAGATTTTTACTTCCTACATTTTGGCTCTAGAAAACTATCACAGAGGTAAATACCAAAGATACTGTTTGGGACATGGACAAACTCTCTTATATGTAACACTTCCTGATAACCACAACATGGAACAATCTAAACCATTCTTTAAAACTTATAAACAAATGTTGTATATGCCTGGTAATAATCTTCTGCATAAAATAGAGATCTTAAATTTAGATCTAGTACAGAACTTTTAAGGACTAGTTTCTGTTTGGCTACTTCAAAAGTGATCTAAGATGGTTTATAAATCTAAACATGTAAAAACTAGAATAAAAATAAAATGGAACATCATCAATACAAAGGACTGATGATGATCCTGATGCAAACAGGTACCTCACTACTGCATCTGCAATGATAAAATGAAACACACTAATGACTCTGTCTGAGCCTGCTGTCTCTCCACATGGATTACTCAATGGTTATGTAATGGAGCTGAAGTAAGAAGCAAAGAAAGTAACAAACACCTCATACCATTCTCAGAGCCAAAGAGGCCTGAAAAATAAGGGTTACTTAGTACAGTTACATAGATTTCCCAAAGTATACATTTTTCTAAAGACTAATTCAAAGGGAAATACAATCTGTGGGTCCTTGTATTAAGGCCACCAAATGACACAATGAGTCACACCTTTGACCACTGCTTTTCAAAAGGAAATTCCGGTGCTGATTTCTATTACAACTGAGGGTATAATATTATATTTTAATTTCATGGAGAACCATGTTCATTGCAGAGGGTTTAGGAAACATGGTCTGATGAACTGAACTTCTAAAACAGAATGGGGTCTGGAGGGCCTAAAGGAGAACTAGGCTGATGTGTTCACGATGATGTGTGTCAAACACCAGATGTCCCAAATAGATTCTTTAACAGGATCAATCAAAATATATGACCTTTACCTTTGTGGCTGTGCAATCCAAGGTCTTGAATTCATTCATATATTCATCTAAAAACACTTTGAAAGTATTGACCCAAACTCTCACTGGAGATTCACTCCAGTCACGCTGCTCCAGCCTCATGGTCTTCTCCAGAATCTGCTCAAACAGTGCGTGGAGGTCTTTGTACCGTATGCTTTTCCCGTCATCCATCTAATAAGCAGTAAAGAAGAAATGTAAGGTTTCATCAAGGTATTCTTTGCCTCTAGGATACAGGAGTCTGAGTCGACATAATACTGGGTGATATTCAGAATGAAGATTAGGATCCAGCTATGCCATATATATATATATTTTGACAGGCAGAGTGGACAGTGAGAGAGAGAGACAGAGAGAAAGGTCTTCTTTTGCCGTTGGTTCACCCCACAATGGCCGCTGCGGCCGGCGCACCACGCTGATCCAGAGGCAGCAGCCAGGTGCTTATCCTGGTCTCCCATGCTGGTGCAGGGCCCAAGCACTTGGGCCATCCTCCACTGCCTTCCCGGGCCACAGCAGAGAGCTGGACTGGAAGAGGAGCAACGGAGACAGAATCCAGAGCCCCGACCGGGACTAGAACCCGGGGTGCCGAGCCTCAGACGGAGGATTAGCCTACTGAGCCGTGGCGCCGGCCCAGCTATGCTTTCTAATGAGTATTTATATAAATTCCCACTCTGGTATAAAGAGATGCAGTAAGTGTTTGTGCAAATTCTGGGAACTCCTCCTCCAAGTCGGGAATTTTAATTTTATATAGCTATAAAGATGATTTGCATCCCTCTTAATTACTAATCAACCCAGAAATAAACTTAATAAGGTAGTTCTATGCTAAAACTGAAAGAATACTTGAATCTTTGCCTTACAGCACATTCAGAAACCTTGAAAAAAAACTTTTCAAAAGACTGACAATGGTCAGAGTAACGTCATATTACTTACAAAGGAATCCAAATGGAATTTTTAAAAATTTTTAAATGAAATCTGGAGTATTTATAAGAAAGAAAGCTCAAAAAGTACTATACATGTTTAGAATTTATTTCTTGCTTCAGATCTGAAGGGTGAACTTTTTTGATCCACGGTTAGCAAACCACTATTGAGCTCTGCTTCATTGTGCTGTCTCTCCCTACCTGAATTGGAGCACCCAGCACCTCTGAGTCCCTATCCAGAACTCCAGAGAGGAAGCACAGAAGACCGTGAAAAAGTTGGGCAGGATTCAAAACATGTGGACAACCTGTCCCCTCTCCAATCTAGCAGGCTGTTATAAGTGATGATTTCTATATTTTAGTCTCCAGATTATTATTCTCTCCCATTTCTTTCTTTCTTTCTTTTTTTTTTTTTTTTTTTGGACAGGCAGAGTGGACAGTGAGAGAGAGAGAGACAGAGAGAAAGGTCTTCCTTTGCCGTTGGTTCACCCCACAATGGCCGCCGCGGCCGGCGCACCGCGCTGATCCAATGGCAGGAGCCAGGTACCATGGGGTGCAGGGCCCAAGCACTTGGGCCATCCTCCACTGCACTCCCTGGCCACAGCAGAGAGCTGGCCTGGAAGAGGAGCAAGCGGGACAGAATCCGGCGCCCCAACCGGGACTAGAACCCAGTGTGCCGGCGCCGCAGGTGGAGGATTAGCCTAGTGAGCCGCGGCGCCGGCCAATTCTCTCCCATTTGTAAACAAGAAAAGAATCTTATGTTAAGAAAGGTATAAATGTAGAGTATACACTAAAAAGTTTTCCACAATGAAATAAAGAAAAGATTGGGGGAAAAAATAGGAAATATTATTTTACAGAATGTAACAATTATAAGTACTAGCAATTATTCAACAGACCCAGGCAACAATTATTACATACTTTAGCATCAAAAAAGAAATTTTCTAAAACATAATGAGTATTATGTGAAAGTATGAGGTAAATCTCAAATTATATAAACTGATATGTATAAATTACTGATATTAAGCTACCCTAATTCCACTGGGGGAGAAAAAAACCCTGTGTATGAAGCTCCAAACATAGAGGAGATTTCCAAATTACACCTTAGCAATGGAGCTAAAAGGATTACAATAAGTCAAAAGACTAGGGAGCCCCTGAGTAAAACAGAATCACGAGACTGGCATTGTGAAGTAGCTGCAATGCTGGCATCCCACATGGGCACCAGGTCAAGTGTGGCTGCTCCACTTCCCATCCAGTTCCCTGCTAATTTGCCTGGGAGAGCAACAGAACATGACCCAAGTGCTTGGGCCCCTGAAACCACATGGGAGACCTGGAAGAAGCCCTTGGCTCCCGGCTTTAGACTGGCTGTTACAGACATTTGGGGAGTGAATCAGCAGGTGGAAGATATTTCTCTCTCTCTAGCTCTGCCTTTCAAATAAATAATACATAAATCTTTTTGAGAGAGAGAAGAAAGAAAGAGAGGGAGAGAGAGAGAGAGACTGTACCTAGAATATCTGAAGTCAGTACTATGAGAAACATAGCCATAAGGGGGAAAACTACTCAAGGAAACTCGGGGAGGCTATCAGCCTGAGCCTTCTGATGTGCTTTTCCTCAGCCACTCCCAAAACAAAATGAACTTAAGCAGTCTCTAGTTGAATGTGGCCTTTATGTTATATTTTCTACAGTAGTGTCAATTTTCACACACTGAATTACTGAGTATGTCCTAACATAGTACAACTTACCGCCAATGCAGACGAATAAAAGCTGAAAATATTCTGCCGAAATTCTTTCAGGGCTTTTTTAAACACAACATCCACCAGTGTATCCTTCTTGCTGTCTTCATTATCTAAGTCATTCATCTGGGAACCACAGAAAGAGTTTTTAGACACAATCAACAGTGGATACTTATCATCCCTTCAATTAAGAATTTAAAAAAACATTTTAACAATTTTTAAAAAATTGTCCTAAAAATGCAAGCCACAGATTATGAAGGAACCCAGGTAAAGTATAACTAGAGAGCCCAACTACTGGGACTGAGAGGTAATGTCACAAGCCACTCCTAACACTGCAGAATTCTGTAAGAGAACAGCCCCGAGTGTGCAGCAGACCTCACCTTCACACACAGAGCACAACCTACAACCACAGTGCAGTGGAAGGCAACAGTAAAGCCTGAATCTGAAATCCTGTCCACTCAGTCTGACTTTGTTTGCCCCTACTTTTGACCCTTTCTGCTAAGGAGCACACCCTCTTACTTGCTGAAGCGTATGTTAACCTTGATCTCTAGAGGGCACATACTGATATATACAATCATTCAGGAGCCAAAGCAGCCGGCGCCGTCGCTCAATAGGCTAATCCTCCGCCTTGCAGCGCCAGCACACCGGGTTCTAGTCCCGGTCGGGGCGCCGGATTCTGTCCCGGTTGCCCCTCTTCCAGGCCAGCTCTCTGCTGTGGCCCGGGAGTGCAGTGGAGGATGGCCCAAGTGCTTGGGCCCTGCACCCGCATGAGAGACCAGGGGAAGCACCTGGCTCCTGGCTTCGGATCAGCGCGATGCGCTGGCCGTGGCAGCCATTGGAGGGTGAACCAACGGCAAAAGGAAGACCCTTCTCTCTCTCTGTCCACTCTGCCAGTCAAAAAAAAAGGAGCCAAAGCTGCTCAAAGGCCTTGCTCAGCAACCAAAATGTACCTTTTTCAGAAGAAATTCATCCATGCTCTTTAAATCACTGGCACTTGCTATGATCTGAACAGAGTCATTTTGCCAGTGCACAGAGTCCAAAGCCACACTGCTGATCTTCACACTCCGCTTGCGCTTCGCCTTTGGAGAAGGTTCTTTGTTTTCTTTGAACTCCTTCCGGCAACTGCCAGGCAGTTCTGGGCTCAAAGGAGGTGTTGGATGATACTGAGGTAATTCTACAAATCACGACAGAGTACCCAAGAAGACAGATTTAGTAAAAACACTGATAATTTCCACATCCCTCTTCTTAAGTTCCTTTGGTCACTGAAGGACATACACGAGTATCAGAAAAGCAAACTAAGGTTAATGCCTGAGGGCAGGCAGGCACAAAACCCAGAGTGCACATTTGTGCAGAAAATGCATTTCAGAATAATCACCACTTCTGAACGAGAAAAGCTGTCATGTCTCCCAAGAAGCTGAGGTACAATACTGGAAACCTGGATGGAAGCGCCTTGTGGAACATCAACCTAGATCCTAAAAACCTCAGCCCCAGACAAACAAGGGAACGTGGCCACAGTGGCACATCAAATGCTGACTGCTAGCCCCGACATAGCTTTGCTACACTTATTTGAAAGAATGTCTAGCCAAATACAAGTCTGACGAATTAGCAGAGTTGTCATGGATGCTTCAGTAACCTCACGTGATGATCTGGTAACCTGTTAGGGGGTCAGTTAACTAAAATCGGTTTTCTTTAGTATTTTCTTACACATCTATCTCTCAAATAACTGTCTGAACAACTCACAGAATTCCTGAATGGACTAGCGGAGAATACAGCTGAGAAGTTACCAGTCTTTCTCTGCAATTTACACTGGAGAAATTGAGAATGCATGTAGTTCACAGTCACCTAGAATCAGATTTGCCAAAGCCAGTTGGCCTCTGCTCATTTCAAGTGTGCTTCCCTCCTCAACAGGTATGCGCCTCTGTCCTCTGTCCAAATGTATAGCCTCACTCAGCTAAACGAGTACTCTGATAATAAAGGAAAAAGCTAACCCCTTACATGCTCAATGTCACCTGAGGTAGGAATTGAGACAACGTCTCAGAAAAGACACTGGAATAAAGAACATAAAGATACAGAATGCAGGTGTATTCAAATCAGTGTCACTCGATTCTAATGCCATAATGTAACTTACATATATAAGTATGTAATTATTGTATTCAGCAAAGTCAGTGTCTTTCTTATAATGTTACTTAAGAAATTCCCTATAATCAAAGGACTGCCTTCATACATTTTTACCTAGATATAAATAAAAAGCTATAATCATACTACACATGTGTCCTGATAAATGAAGGCTGCTTGTAAGTTTCCAACTGAAGAGCTTTACAGTTTGGGGAATTAGCAGTGAAGAACTATAGAAAATGAACAATTCAGACTGAAGCCTGTCGATCAACTTAGTCATCCAACAGCAAGGAATTTTACTTTGTTCTTTATTGGGTTTATCCTCATCAGTCTGTCAGCTCACAAGGCACAAAAACAGGGGTGTGAATACATCCTGACTCTGTGTCCCCCGGCACGCGGTGCTGACAATCACCCCTGCTCTGGCCTCTGTCCTGGAGGAAGCCAGGTCCCTATAGCTTCCCCCACACACGAGCAGCTCTTGCTTACTTGTCCTAACCGGGTCCTTTCTGTCTGCCCCTCGAGACACCAGCTTGCCTCTTGGGGTCTCATCCTCCTTTAGTCAGTGCTGGGATTTACCCATACATCACCACACAGCCCCTGGGAGATGCATTCCTGCTGCAGACAGCTGTCACATAGCACTGCAGACCTCCAGCATGCCTAAGGAAGGGCTTGGGAAGAAGACATAATCTTCTACTACTGGGATTACTGGAATCCTTGGAGAATTAGTCACTCCTGGCATTTAGAACAGTCAGTTTTCTCAACAGTTGAGCTAACTTTAAAATGTGTTATGATTCATGCCCCAAAAGTTAAAATAACCTCTTCATTGTAAAGTGCCAGCATTTGCTAGGTATGGACATGTAATAGGTATGTAATCTTGGGGCTGGCACTGTGGCATAGTGGGTAAAGCCTCTGTCTGCAGTGCCAGCATCCTATGTGTCTGTCGGTTTGAGTCCCAGCTGCTCCACTTTCGATCCAGCTCCCTGCTAATGCACCTAGGAAAGCAGTGGAAGATGGCCCAAGTCCTTGGGCCCCTACACCTGCTTGGGAGACCCAGATCAGCACAGCCTCAGCCGCTGCAGCCATCTGGGGAGTGAACAAGTGGATGGAGGACCTCTCTCTCTCTCTCTCTGTAACTCTGCCTTTCAAATAAATAAATCTTAAAAAAAGTCGGCCGGCGCCGCGGCTCACTAGGCTAATCCTCCGCCTAACGGCGCCAGCACACTAGGTTCTAGTCCCGGTTGGGGCGCCGGATTCTGTCCCGGTTGCCCCTCTTCCAGGCCAGCTCTCTGCTGTGGCCAGGGAGTGCAGTGGAGGATGGCCCAGGTGCTTGGGCCCTGCACCCCATGGGAGACCAGGAAAAGCACCTGGCTCCTGGCTCCTGCCATCGGATCAGCGCGGTGCGCCGGCCGCAGCACGCTGGCCGCGGCGGCCATTGGAGGGTGAACCAACGGCAAAGGAAGACTTTTCTCTCTGTCTCTCTCTCTCACTGTCCACTCTGCCTGTCAAAAAATTAAAAAAAAAAAAAAGTCATGTAATTCACTGCACAGCAGTGAAGAATGTGGAATAAGTAGATAGCCTGACCCAGATCTCAGCTCTTTGAGTTACTGCATGTGTATACATAAATATGCACATATATTCTGGGCCTTATTTCTCTCATCTAAAACTTGTGAATAGTAATCATACTAGCCATCAAAAAACTGTTGCGAGGATCAACTGAGTTAATACATAAGCTTTAGCCCAGTGCCTTCTGGTGGCAAGCATTCAAATACTAGCTGCTTTTTTTTTTTTTTTTTTTTTTTTTGACAGGCAGAGAGGACAATGAGAGAGACAGAGAGAAAGGTCTTCCTTTGCTGTTGGTTCACCCTCCAATGGCCACCGCGCCGGCATGCTGCGGCTGGCGCACCGCGCTGATCCGAAGCCAGGAGTCAGGTGCTTCTCCTGGTCTCCCATGGGGTGCAGGGCCCAAACACTTGGGCTATCCTCCACTGCACTCCCTGGCCACAGCAGAGAGCTGGCCTGGAAGAGGGGCAACCGGGATAGAATCCGGTGCCCCAACCAGGACTAGAACCTGGTGTGCCGGCGCCGCAATGGGGAGGATTAGCCTAGTGAGCCGCAGTGCCGGCTTATACTAGCTGCTCTTATTAATTATTACCAACAACACCATTCTGTTAGGTGAATGAATAATGGCCAAATTTTTACAGTTTAGAAAATTAAGGCTAAACTGAAGCTCACAGTTATTCTTGAGATTTTCACTGTTTTGTGCCACATTTTCTTAGAATTTTCATTATGGATAAAAATGTAACAATTTGGGGCCAGCACTGTGGCATAGCAAGTAAATCCACCACCTGCAGTGGCCAGCATCCCATATGGGCACCAGTTCAGGTCTCCGCTGCTCCACTTCTAATCTAGCTCCCTGCTAATGCACCTGGGAAAGCAGCAGAAGACAGCCCAAGTCCTTGGGCCCCTGCACCTACGTGGGAGACCCAGAAGAAGGTCCTGGCTCCTGGCTTCAGATTGGCCCAGCTCTGGCCATTACAGCCATTTAAGAAGTGAACCAGTGGATGGGAGACCTTTCTCTCTCTATTTCTACCTATCTCTGCAACTGTCTTTCAAGCAAACAAAACAAATCTTTTATATAAAAAAAAAGTAATCATTTTTAGTTAAGGAATGAGTTAGCAATCCTGGCCCTGTCCCATGAGAGGACCTAATCATTGTGAATATTTCAAGAATAGCAACCCTTCAGAAGGAACAAGTAGAAATTATGAAGATAGCTCCACCCTGGTTGGTTCCTACCGTCTGGACACAGATGTGAGGAGACATCCAACTGTGGGGCAGGCTTCACTCTGGCCATCTTCCTCTCCCCTGGTTTCCCTTTGGCCCAGAATCGCATCTTAGCTCTCTGAGGTCTGTTTGAAAAAATAAAGGTAAAAACTGAAAATCAGTTTGTCCTAGTGATGACATGTGTGTATCACTTCAGGCATTAGTATGTATGAGCTCATCTAAGCTTCCAGTTTAACTTCAATCACATTGCATTTTCAACCTCACATTTCAATTCCACTTGGCAGATAGATAGCTTCTTTGTCTTGAATACTGAAATAGTAAGATCCAAAAAGAAGCAGAATAATTTTGTAATATAAAATAGTTACAAAGCAGTGGAACTAGGATTCCAATTCGGGTTTTCTGATTCACAAACTTTAAATCTTTTCATTTTTGTCCCATCCAGTTTTGATTTAGTATGTAAGTAATTGTAAGAAATCAGAGATAATCCTACTGCTCTAAAAAACATTGCTTTACATTTTTTGGTAATTTCCTTCAATTCTTAATCCCATTTTTCTATCACTGTAGTCATGATACAGGTATAATTTTAAATCTTTTCACTGACTAATACAATAAAAGTTTTAATGTAATTTATATTCATGAGTTATCCATGTTATTAATTAACAACAGCCACTACTTATTTGACCTCTCATTTCATTCAAGGCACAATGTTAATTGCTAATACAGAATTACTTTATTTAATTACAACAGCCTTTAACAAACTACCATGAATATTGTAGAAGTGAAAAACCAGAGACTTACACATGAGATAACTTTCTCAAGGTTACACAGCCAACAGTGACAAAGTCTCCTCACATAAACCTCACACAGCTTATATGCTATCTAAGTATTTGGAGGAAGTGCCCTGACACAGTGACAACAGCTCACACATACTGGTCATGCACAGTGAGTGTAGCTAACCCTCTACTAGTAGGCTTATTTGTATATTAATTTGTTCATGTGTAGGTTCATTCATTCAATCAAAAGTTACTTGAGGATCTACTAGGTGACAGGCACTGTTTTATATGTGTTAACCCTGATTTTCACAACCACCCTCGAGGAGGTATTATTACCCCACTTCACACGTGAGCAAACTGAGGCTCAGAGAGTGACAGAAGTGCAAGTTAGAATCAGCTCTATCTGCCTCTGAAGGCCATGTTGTTTTTACTTCTGTTTGTTTCTTTTTTAAAGCTTCTGTTAAGCTTACACACTCACTAATGTAACAAGAAACTGTTCTTCAAGGCTTCTTACAACCAACAGCATCCTTGTCCCTCTCAGTCCATGTTCTGCTCCCTGGAGCAATCCCTGTGAACTGATTTCACTGACTGCTCTGATATTCCACCTGCTTACAATGCTCTCCTTGTCATGACTACAGTGATTAAGCATGCGTCACCCTCCTGTCCCACACTCAACACAACATGTGTCCCCAGGAGAATTATACTGTAAGTTTATGTAGGGATATATTCTGTATTTACTTTTATTATGTAAATAATATTCACAGCTGAAGCACGTTAATTGCCTACATGATGTCTTATTCTAGAGTTGTTTTTCCTTGGCTCACTCTTCTGCACATCACTCACGTCCAGCGCTTCCCATTTGTCTGTCTTCTTCCTATATTCACACCCATCAGGTGCTACTAACCCAGTTTCACCTTCTCGAAGAAGTCTCTCTCAGAGTCCTGTTAACCTGCTCCAATCCAGAGTGGTTTCACCACCATCACGGAGAGCCTTTGGCTTGATAATGACTTGTCTTCCAGGATGAGTCTGCTTTCACCACAGTGCTGGGCACTCAGTGGGCCCATCCAACCTAGAAACTCATGTCCTCAGTTCTGTGAAATTCAGCTGATGTACTTTATTAGCCATTTGCTCTTCTTCATTTCCTACATTCTATCTCACAAGACCTCTTATCACTGGGTCACTGAACCTCCTGAACTGAGCTTCTAGCTTTCTTATCTCTTCCACATCTTTGCTCAATTTTCTGAGATTATGTACTTAACGTTCCTTCTGTGCTGTTCTTTTATGCTATTATATTTTCAAAATATTTTAAAAGTTCTTTTTATTAGGAATTTTTGCCTTTTGTATGCCCTGTTTGGTTTTATGGACGCCACTGTATTATTCAAGTGTGCTGATAGTTGTATTGGTCTATCCTGAAGTTTTCCATGCCCTATTTATTGCTTCCAAGCTGTATTCTTCCTGTTAGCACTGGTTTCTTCAGTATGAGGTATCTCTTCTGCATGTGGTGAACACGGTATCTGTCATGATGCAAACAGGGCAAAATCCAAGTAGCTTAGAAGCTCTAGCCTGCACCAGTGTGGGGCTTCCAAAGTGCAGACTTCCTTAGAGGGTTATCTGGCTGGCCAATTTTTCAAGGAGAGCCCGTAGTATTAGTATATTCAGATCTTTATCTGAGGGCTGGATAAAGGTACCAAAAACTCTCTGAACCATTTGTTTAGAGGGTATGGGAAATGTGGGTGCTCAGCAAAGGATGAAAACTAGGGGAATCTTAGCACTCACTCTGTCAACAGTCATTAAATCCCCTGTTCTACGGGCCCCAGCCATCAACTGCATCTGATAAGCTCTAAGCCCGGAGACACTCTGCTTATTTCTCTCCAAAGAATAAATGCCACATTTCTGCTAGACCGAAACAGTTGTCACCTGGATACTTCTTTCTCAGCTTTACCCAGCTGGTCTATGATAGGCTTTCTCCTATCTACTAAGGCATTTAAAATTTAAAGTCTACTTACTTTTTGCATTTCACAAATCTATTGCAATTGTCTCCATTTATGTTTTTATTTGTTTTGTAGGTATTATCACTTTCAACAATTTGAGAACAGAAAGTGAAAATTCGACATATATATTTAACCTGCTATCTGTGGCTGTGTGTTCATTCTACTACAGCTGGGTTTCCTGGAATTACAGGTCAGTCATAAAGGGGACTCCAGCAGAGTTATGAATCACAAAGATTTCAGCATGACTTTCAAGTTTTCATGGAAGGAACACATGCTTACCTAACACAACAAGGGATTAAGACATTTATTTGAAAAATAAAAACTGTACAAGCTCTTTTAAAGAAAACAGAAATTCCCAGAAGTATTTTATAGTTCTGTCTCTGAAACAACTTAGCTCAGAATGGAATCCAAGTCCAAAGCCAGAACATATTTCAATCTCATCTGGTCTACTTTCTCTTCTTTTACAACAAAAGTCAAATAATAACTCAGAACCTCTCCCCAGTCACGCTGCTAAACTCAAAGGAACATACATCGCATTATGTAGATCTGCACTACTGTGTGCCTGTCAACAGTAAGTACTTATTTCTTGAAAAATTGATAAATGAATTTTAAAAACTCAGTATTCAATTGTAATCAGCTATTAAATAAAGTTATAACACCCCTATTGACTCTATGTACACTTTATACCTTATATCCGAATCTGAAGCTTTCTGTCTCACTGCCAACTTCGTAATCTCTCCTTGGGACATAGTCTTATGAAGCTTTGCTTGTTCATCAATTGCAGAAAATCTCTGTGATGTCTGTAATAATTGCATATGTGAAAGACTTTAAAACAAAGTAAATATATGATAGCACTGTAATTAAAACTTAGGTTATGGAATTATTTGAGAATTATAGCTGTTAAAAAATATAAAAATGCATTCATATTAATAAGAGACTCACTGAAATAACAAAACCTATGAAAATTCTATTGCCTTCCTAAGTAAACATTAAATAAGAACTTGGGTTCAACGTGAGTGCTCAACAGGAACCACCTTCATTTTCTGACAATTTAAGAATCTCAAGTGGGAAGGTGAGAAAATAGGCAAGACCATGTGAAGACAGACAAAAGACTGCAGGGTCTCAAAAATCTGGAACACTAAGCACCATCTTCCACATTCGCCTTTTTCAAGTCAGAAAGTAAAAATTACTTCTATGGTTTAACTTTCTATTAACAGGTTCTCATTATATCCAAAGACTTAAAGGACCTAGAACACACATAAAAAAAACAAAGAATCAAAGAATAAAAGATCATTATCATCACTAACAGTCTTAATTACAAGCAGTTTATCAGGCTATCAAACTAGGATCGGCATCACAACCAGCGAATCTTATTCTATTTGTTTATAATGTGCTCCTCTAAAGACAGTCTCTTTCTTAGCAGAGATTTCTTATAACCCATTCAAGTCATTTCCTAGTCTTTTATTTTTCTATACTTATAAAAATCCTTTCTTTAACTGTTTGGTCTGCTCTAATATAACCTTATCAACAGAAACAGACCATCTCCCGAGTTGTCAAAATGTAAAGAAGAGATTTCTGCTTCTGGCCAAGATGGAGTAACAGAGACCTGTGGTACCCTCTTGCCTAGAACAAAACAGACAACGTGATAGTAAACACCAGTTTTCACAACAAAGGACAAATATCTCTGGAAAAAGTGAGTCTTACACCTGCCCCAGGTTACCGTCTAAAGATAGATTCTAGGCTGTGACACAGAGAAACAAACCAGGTAGAATCTAGCTGACTCCCCAGGCTGAATACATGAAGCTCAAAGTCCAAAGTAAGAAAAGTGACAAAAAACCAAGAGACCAGAGAAGGGAGAAAAGCACAAAGAAAGGACTCTGAAGACCTCCACCAGGCCCCAGGAATTCGCTAGCCGAGCACTAAGGAACTTTCTTGGGCTGCCCTTCTTCTGTGCGAAAGCTTCCCGTGGGCTGGGAGAGCCTGCTGGGACTACTTGTCACTCTTCAGCCTGCAGGTAATTTGATGTTACTGTGCACTCTTCTGTCTCGTTTTCACACTGAAAATGAAGCTTCTCTGACAGTGATTTCAGACCATTCCTAAGCCTGAGGCTAGTTCTGCTCTTTTGCACAATGTTTCTTGGGCTGCCCTTCTGCTGTGCAAAAGAAAACCGTCTGTGACATTACCAAGGAGCATGAGAGCACCCTCAAGCCAGCAGAGGCAGCACCTTTCCCATCCCAGGAGCCTCTGACCCCTCCTCAGCAAGCGAAAAGCGCGTTCCAGGATCAGAGTAGGTTAGGCCACATGAACAGTGTCTCGTTCTTAAGGTCAGCTGATTCGGAACCCTAATGACAACCGCAAAATCCCTTCACACAGAACCTAGATCAATGTCTGAAAAATTTACTGAGGAAAGACGTTTTCAGTAGGGCCAGGAATCTTGTGTGCCATTTTAGAATTCTTCCCATAGAGTACATATTCATTACATCTGTATGAAGCTTCTGACACTGAATGGAAGGGGAAGGCTGGGTTGAAACATGAGAGAAGTTTTCAGGTTATAGAGATCTCAACAGGACAGGTTACATGGTTGTATACATATGTCAAAAACAGTCAAACTGGGGCCAGCACTGTGGCACAGCAGCTCAAAGCCCTGGCCTGCGGCTCCGGCACCCCGTATGGCTTTCAGTTCAAGTCCTGGCTGCTCCATTTCCAATCCAGCTCCCTGCTGATATGCCTGGGAAAGTAGCAGAGGATGGCCCAAGTATAATATACCTCAGTTACAAAACAATACTAATAAATCAGGGTCAGGTCAATACCACATGATTCCTTGAAATATCTTAACATTACCAAAGACAGAGATGTGGCTGCTAACATGATCCCACAGTATAGATTCACCAACTCACATGAAGTATTTTTCTCAAAAAACTAAATCCAAATTGACCCAAATATTCTCTTTAAACTGTCAACTGGTATGTCACTTTAAATGACAATACAGGATTACAACAGGCAAAATGCAGAAATGTGGGAAACAATTAAGAAATGATCATAGCTCCTCAACAAATAAATCACTAGAGGAGAAAAGGGGAGATGGGAAAATCATAGATTAGAAGTATTCTACACACACCTTCTAGGAAACTAATAATGGGTGCTGCCTAAATACAAACGCAGTGACATACTCTGCAGAAACAATACAAAGCCAGAAGAAAAGCAAAACTATAGGAAACGCTAACAAAAAAAAAAAAAACAGAAAGAATGCACAGTAACATCAAATTATCCGTAGTCTGAAAAATTACAAGTAGTCCCAGCGAGCTCTCACAGCCCCACTGGAAGCTTTTGCACAAAAAAAGGGCAGCCCAAGAAAAATTGTGCAAAAGAGCAAAACTAGCATCAGGCTTGGGAAGGGCCTAAAATCACTGTCACTGAAGGTTCATTGTAAGTGTAAAAACAGTAAAGATCACCAGACTGCAGGGAAAGGATTTAAATGTACATTACTGTAAAACACACATGCTGTAGTTTTAAAGGCATTGCTTCTAAGGGTGGAGGGAAGGCTGAAAAGGAAGGAAGAGGTGCCCCATGGAGACTGGGCAATGAAGAGCAAAAGAGCAGAAAGTGCAAACTGAGAAGCAAAAAACAGGAGGACACACACTGCTAATGGCCAGGGCAAAGCAGCGGAAGATGGCCCACATGGGAGACCTGGAAGAAGCTCCTGGCTCCTGGCTTTAGATTAGCCCAGATCTGGCCCTTGCAGTCATCCGGGGAGTGAGCCAGCAGATGGAAGACCTCTCTCTCTGCCTCTCTCCCTCTCTCTCTGTAACTCTGCCTCTCAAATAAATAAATAAAATTTTTTTAAAAAAGAGTGATGTATAAAGTAAGTAGTAAAGGGGTCGCAAGGAACATGGTAGAAATCAAAGACTGGCAAAAAATTTATCTGTAACTGGGTTCTCTAATCAGCAAAACAATGGAATTTTCAAAATTAATTCAAGAATACAATATCTAAAGAATTTTAAAGAAATAAAAGAGCAAAGAAAACATACAACATAAACACAGCAAATTTAATGTAACACGTAATAATTACATAAAATAATGAGACTAAATCTATCAATTAAAACAATTATGTAGGGGCTGTCGCTGTGGCACAGTGGGTAAAGCTGCCATCTGCAGTGCTGGCATCCCATATGGGCGCTGGTTCAAGTTCGGTTTGCTTCACTTCTGATCCCGCTCTCTGCTATGGCCTGGGAGAGCAGTGGAAGACAGCCCAAGTGTTAGGGCCCCTGCACCTGCGTGGGAGATCCAGAGGAAGCTTCTGGCTCCCGGCTTTGGACTGGTGCAGCTCCAGCCATTATGGTCATTTGGGGAGTAAACCAGCGGATGAAAGATTTCTCTCTCTCTCTGCCTCTCTGTAATTCTGCCTTTCAAGTAAATAAATTAATCTTAAAAAAAAAATTATGAGGGGCCTGTGCTGTGGCGTAGCGGGTAAAGCCTGTAGTGCTGGCATCCTATATGGGTGCTCATTCGAATCCCAGCTGTTCCACTTCCGATACAACTCTCTGCTATGGCCTGAGAAAGCAGTAGAAAATGGCCCAAGTCCTTGGGCCCCTGCACCGACGTGGGAGACCCAGAAGGAGCTCTTGCTCCTGGCTTCAGATTGGTGCAGCTCCAGCCGTTGCAGCCAACTGGGGAGTAAACCAATGGATGGAAGACCTCTCTCTCTCTCTCTCTCTCTCTCTCTCTCTCTCTGCCTTTCCTCCTATCTCTGTGTAACTCTGACTTTCAAATAAATAAATAAAAACAATTATGGATAAAACTCACTTATTAAATAAAAATTCTTTTCTTTTAATTCTTACAATTTTTTGAGAAGCAGAGAGACAGACAGCACCTCCCCCATCTGCTGCTTCATTCCCCAGATGCTCACAATGGCCAGAGCTGGGCAGTGAGGAGGTCAGGAGCAAAACTCCATCCAGGGCACCCAGGTGGTGCACAGAATCCATTCACCTGAGCCCTGGACTGGTGCCTCCTAGGGCCTGCACTGTCAGCGCTCGAGTCAGAGCCAGACCCAGGAAATGCACTGGGCACACCACTAAGCTGAAGGCCTGCTCCCAGAAAGAGTATTTCCAATTTGATTCAGAGCAGGACCCAGCTACACCAACAAAAACTCACACCTAAAACAAAGGGACCCAGAAAATCTTAAAATAAAAGGAAAAGCGTAAGTATTCCAAGTAAATGGAAATAACAAGAAAACAGTCTGTGATATTATTAAGTATAATTTAAGTAAAAAACATTAAATATGACAAAGGACACTTTTCAATGCTAACAAAGAATAAGAGAAGACTTTAGCACACCATTCTCAGAACAAGACAGATCACTGTACAAAAAATAATGACAGAGAAGACAGTGAATAAGGCAGAGATTATGGACATATAGTGCAATTTTACACCCTGAACAGAATATATCTTCATACCAAGTACACACAGCACAGTTGTAAAATCTGATCACATATGCAGCATTCATAAAAGTATCAGTAAAACTGATCAAATACAAGTATTCCTTAGTTAAATACAATAAAACGAGAAATTCACAGAAGAATTGAAAGATTCTCCCTCTGAAAATTCTAAAATATTTTACTAAGCAAATCTTGGGTAAAATAAATATACATATATGGGGGGAAGAAGAGAGGGGAGCAAGAGAGGAGGAGCAAGGGAAGAAGAGAGAGACTTAGATTAAAAGATCTAGAAAACAGATTGATAAAAACCTTATATATGAGAATCCATGAGATACATCTAAAGCAACAATCAGAGGAAAATTCATT